TGTGGTGTAGCCGTTCTCGGATAGGTTAATTTGAAGGTTTAGAAATGGAAGCCAGTTTTCTTTCGGTTTCTCACGGGTGATCACGGTCACTATCCTTACGCAGGAATCGAAAACATCAGCGCGAAAAACTCTTGAAGCGTTTTGGATCAATGCCAAAAATTCAAAAATGAACCGCAAGGAGGAGTGTCTTGTCATCACGCGTGACCTAGCGCCATACCTCAGGCTGATCCAATGATCTGACATGGACCCAGTTATCGACCATGTATTACTCTGTGCGGCGGCTATCCACCAACTAACTTAAATACTTACGACAAATAAACGGTAGGTGTTTGAATGAAGCTGTTTCTTATGCGAACACAAATCGATTTATCAAGTTTTATCTGCTAGGGTTATGAAAGTGTTTGGCTGAGTAGATCGCATCTCAATTTGACCTTTCCAGGCTCTGAAGAAGGCGAAACCGCCGAAACGTCAGCAATTGTGTTCTAATAAATTCTATATTAACAACCTCGTGTCTGCTTATTGATGAAAAACATTGAATTATCAATTAATGCCGAGGTTAACAGAAAGTCGGTCATGGGGATGTCATATAGGTGTTATAAAATACTTAAAAGTTTTTGCGAATTGCATCGATGCATTATATGGATTCTATGTAAATTAAGAAGAAAAAGGAAGCTCCAGAATTTTAAAATGAGAGTGTAAACAAACCCATCATCATTGTAGTGGTGCCGCTGTTTCCTTCGGGTGTTGTATGGTACGGTTGTTCCTCATCGAAGTGTCCTGTTGTCAACTGCTGAAGTGAACCAAGGCGATTCATATCTAGAAGATTGTGCTCTGTAGCGAATTTCCATCTATTTCTGTGCAACATCAGAAAAAAGTAGTTTGAAGAGAGAATGATATTTGGCCTATCGCTGTTGTTATGATGCCGAAGCAGAAATTTTCACAATGAAAAGAAAGGAAAGAAGGGAAAAAGATGGTAGAATAAATTCACTTTACATGACAGAGGAGGGTACTAACATTGCTCTTCCTGTTCTATTCTGCATTGGAACCATAGATTCCTTTAATAAATTTTTATAACACACGTGCTAAAAGTTACATGCATTCCCAATTACTGAACGGCAAAGGTCGCGGAAAAGCTGGAAGTTCATTGGGAGCATTATTCGCCGTAGATGTCGGAAGACAATGTCTTGTTCTTAGTAGGTTCTCTCGCCTAAAGGGACACGAACGACGTCACACTTGTGCTACTCTTTTTTGCCCTTTTAGACAAAAAAGTAGTTCCAGATGACTTCCCCTGGTTTTGGTGCGGCGTAGAATTTCTCCTGGCGGAAAAATAGAAATTTCACTCTTTTTCAAACTTGATGTAGTAGATTCCCACTATACTTTCTGCTTCGGCACCTGGGGTTATTCGTTGAAAACGAGAAAATGATAAAACCACCAAATAATGGTTTTAGGTATCGATGTTTATTTTCTTCGCTTTTTAAAATTGTTTCTTAGCGAATGGCAGCAATATTCTCGTCCACCTGTGGTGTCTTTAGGCCTTGGTGCAATACTGTATTGTGGCGCCGGCGGAAAGTTCTCAATGAACAACGTGCCTTGATTTGTTTTTGATGGATTCCTGTTAAAAAGTGAGCCTAAACACGAAAAGAGTGCAGCAGTACATCAACATCATCAGCGACTATACGGAACGAATCATGAGGAAATGGTTCTACCTTGATGGTTGCTGATATTATCGCTCCAGTTTCGAGACAATAGCTGGGCTGACGACTTGGGGAATATCTTAGTTTGAGGCTTTTGATATTTAGCTTGACTCACACCATTGCTAAACAAGCCTCTGAAGTTGGACAATGGAAGTCGTTTAAAAAACAAACGTTCAATAAGTGCTCACCTGCAGCCTGAATATGTGAGACATGATGGATTTTGAGCTGCTACTGAATTCTGCTGTGAAGAAGCAATGTTATCAACATTATCCGTTCTCATTTCATTCATTGACAAGGAAAGTCTTGGAGACAAAGCAACACTGAAAAACATGTCTTTTTCAAATGTTTGATTTTTGCCTTTAAATCACCAAAGACGGGAAAATTTCTGTGACAATACCACTCTCGATTTCCCTATAGCTAAGTTCAAGACTCAGTGAAGAGATATTTTTATTGACTTATCATCACTACTTATTACTGATTTATTAGAGGAGCGCGCAGCGCAGTGGTCAGGCTCGCCATGTAATACGCGTGGCCCAATCGATCCCTGTGTCTTAGGCTCACCGAGTGTTCCATCTACCTGTCGTCGGCAAATTGACATCAGATCTGCCTGGGAGAATAGCAGCACTGACTCGATACATCAGTAGACTACCGCAATTCACCCCAGATACGGGGGGATAGATGCGGGCGGGGATACATAGGGGCCAGATTCGGACTTAATCACTTTTAACGATGTTTAACGAAGTGGAATGCACGGTCTATCACTCAAGGCTTAGATCAACTCCAGAAACTTCATCGTTTTTTCATCTAGAACTCACTAATAATAGCGTATAAAACCACGAACTTTTCACCTATGGTAATATTCTGGCGAGAAACTGAAATTGTTTACCAGAAACCTGATTAATTGTGCCTTATTTTTGATGAATAGGTTTTAATACTCTTCCTCACCGATTGGCAACACCACTCGCAAATCGACCAATGTCAGTGTCAAATCTAGGCAATACTACTTCATTATTTGGTGAACTGACACTTCTTATGGACGTAGAGGAACTGTCATCCCGATATGGCAAAAGATCATGACGTCCAGAATACCCAGTGACAATGTTGGAGGCTAAAAAGATTTATGAGGTTAGCGTTCTATCTGATTCGAATCAATTCTATTCTAACTAATTATTCTCATACGGCCAATTAAGGAAAAATGTAAAATCTTCCCAAAAAACCTTCCCTTCAGCTTTTTTGTAAAGTAGTCTCGAAACTCCGAACACTTGCGACACTCAAAAGGACTACAAAACTAGGACCCTCAGGTGTGCTTCGAACGTGAGATTACCCTTATTGGGTGCCCTTGTGATGTCATATGCAGCTTCAGCTTACCTGGATACACTGCCAATTCTTGCTCTTCAGATCCTTCCCGTTCAAGGGTGGTTGCTGATAGCACCGGCTAAGTAAAAATATGTCTGAGAGAAAGAGAGAACCAGGTTCTCCGCTGGAGTGGTGGATAAGACATGAGCCCGGCTAAAGGTTGTCGCAGGTTCGAAGCCTACCCAAAGTTTCAGGGTTTCCTCATATCTTAACGTTCCTGTAGTTGTATTTCACATAATACCCTGCTATGAAAAAAAGAATAGGCAGCGAGTAAAAGTTGAGGCATTCTAATTTCTTACTGCAGCTCTCTGGCAAAGACAAATGGTTCATTTCGCAATAATCACAAAATCTAGAGTTTCAAAAAACTAACTATGAGAAAGGTGATGGTGGCCATATTTGGGTATTGGAAATGTATACGGTGCTGAGTATCTAAAGAGAACGCTTATAGTTTGAGTTCAATTTAAGCTTCAAACAATAATGGAAGCGACCTAACATCCTGGAACTACCTGAGGACAAAAGAACGAACCTGCATTCACGGGCAATGAGCTATTGAACTTCTTCTAAAAGTCATAATAATGTTTTAACCTTGCATTATTTGGAGTTACGTTCCGAAGTATCTCGGCTTTAAAACGTGGTATTGCACTTTCCAGGAGATGAACGGCATCGGACAGAAGTGAAGTGCGTGGATTCAGGAGATCAGCGTCGTCCATTTTATCGGCAAATGGAGCCTGAAAAATATCAAGGGAGCAGGTCTTCTATTAAATTGCTGTTATAGTTTATGTATTATATTTGATAGCAGTAGACGGCGGCATATTTCAGTGTTACCTGAAAGAAAAGTTGAAAATATCTATTACCAAAACGATGACAGGTTTTGCATCTGCTCTGAAATCTCAAAAACTTTCACAGCAGCAGAATAAAGAAGGCTGTTGGAGTGCAGGAAGTATGTAGAATAAAAAAACATGATCGACATCAAAGAACGAAGCCAGTTATGTTCATATTCGCTTGACATAACCTCGAAACAATAGTGAGTCGCAGAGTATTAAGTCGGCTATGAAATAATAAAAGCGATAAACGATAAAGCGCTTGGCGTTGACCAATCCTTGAATGAAGCACCATACATTCGATTTCACTAAGCATCGTTGAAGGCGAATGAACGAATGTCTGGCTTGTAGAGTGTCTTGCGGTGGAATACCGATGTACCTTGCTGCCGAGTATCTTCAACCACTGCGCTACAAGCCACCCGGAGAATTGTAGAGGCTCGCAATGTAAGGCAACACTTTAATAAAAGTCAAAATTTGACGAGGAATTGGACAGAGGCTTTTTTACCATATTTTTAAACCACTAAAGAGCTTAATGTTTGTGAAGAGAATGTCGTTCAACGGTGCTGAAGTTGAAAACGAGGACTGATTGCATGGAATAAATAAAAAATGCCCTCGAATAATTAAAGGATGGCTTTCTGGGGATTCATCAGGATTGAGTCACAATATTTAACACTTATTCACCGCCTATTCTTTTCTATAGCAAGGCATTATTATTGTTTAGAAAACCGGCTGTAGGAAAAGCAAAATAAAGGTCTCGGTTGGTGTGGTGGATAACACACAAGTTCCTGGAGGGGCACGGTTTGGAATCCCATAAGAGCCTCCAAGCCTCCAAGTTTTGCTCATATCCCAGCATCTTTCTAGTCTTATTCCAAAAATACGGTTTAGTTTTCTTTGAGGGTATAGAAATCCTTATCACCTACTGTGTATCTCGATCTCGTCTCAGTTAAATGCGACATGCTGTTGCTGGGAACAATTGGATCCATCGGGGCATGCATAGATTGGACTGGTTCGTCATAGGACGGTCTTATCGACGACTTCGTCGGATTCTGAAATGCTAGTTGATACGGTTGATAACGTTGTCCATTAATACTAGGGTTCTGATGGTTAAATTAAACAATTTCCTAAGGTTGTATCGGCACCGGGCACGTGTGGCGTAGTGGTCGGAGGTACCTTGCAACACAAATGGGATCGATTCCCGCGTCCCTGGCCAACCAAGCTTTTGGTCCCTCCAGCGTCGGCAAATTGGTACCAGACGTCTGAGAGGATAGCATCACTGGCTCAATACATCAGTAGGCCACCGCTAGTCATTGTAAAGGCCAGATATGCAACTAATCACTTCCATAAAAAAGAGCATAAAGCTTTCGGCGTTGATCAATCCCTGAGTGATGCCACATGTATTCTACTTCATTAAGCATGGTTTGGATGTGATTAAATACATATTTGACCTTTACGGTGGCCTGCCGATTTATCAAGCCAGTGTTGCTATCCTCCCAGACAAGTCTGGTACCAATTTGCCGACTCCGGAGGGATAGAAGGCTTGGTGGGCCATGGGCACGGGGATCGATTCTACGCGTATGTCGCAGTGGCGCCTTCAACCACTGCGCCACACTCGCCTTAATCACCTCTATACGGTGTTTAATGAAGTCAAATGCATGGCGTATCCCTGAGGTATTGATCAATGTGAAGAGCTTTATCCTTTTTTTCATACTGACATAATCGGATTAAAAAACGGAAGGATTCATCTCCAGGAAGTGATTTATTACCGACCGAATAAAACAGTTATTTGAAGCAATCGCTCTCCAGTTCCAACAGTTTCTATGTTCGTGTCTACCACTCTGATTAATTAGGAACTCTGAGCTATAGAAGTGCGACGGATATTTCGTGTGCTCCTGATAGCCAATGCTCATAGCTCCATTGCGCAGCGTAGTTGCAAATCCACTATAACATCTCCCGCTCCATGATGATGAAGCGACCGTTCGAGATGGGGTTAAGCATAAAGTGTTTTGAAACAAAATAATATTACAACAGGAGTTCAAACCTTCGTTGGAAGGTCGAATGATTGCGTGTTTGGAATGTTGTACTTGTAGATGGGCGGTAGTACTTCGAACAAATCTAGAGGCGGCGATTCATCAAGTGAGGGCATGTCGCTTTTTCGAATCACAATGTTTGGCGAGTTGTCTAAAATTCAGCAATAAAAATGACAAGAATTTTTCTGACAATGGTTTTGCCGCATTCTTTGTGAAAGTCCTCGGATAAGATTTCTTGTAATTGATGGCTTTTTAAAATTTCTTTAATATTTTGTAGATCCCGCCCAACGTTATTCTCTTAACTAAGTCCTTGAACTTCTTTATGGTTGAAAAACTCTCTTTTCTTTTTTGACTCAAAAATTACAAAAAGTATGCTAAAGATGATGTCAGTTAACAATTTTAAGAAAATTTCGATGCTTTCATTAAGATTTCTGTTACGGTAATGCATATCAAATCATCAAAAAAATTAACTTGTAAAAAATATGACAAAATACAGCGGAAAGAACAGGTAGAAGAGCCTCACTTTTGTGTTCTTCGACCATTTGATCCACATCTTTCTTCATGGGAAACGGTCCCGGATTTTGGCCCTTAGGCACTAGAGGATCACTGGAGACTTTTGCGGTCTGGCCATGGAGCGAATGAGGGTCCTCTCCAATATCGTATTTGGAATTCACTTGTGTTGGTGTAGCTTCTCTATTTAAAAAATCTTCCATGAGCCTTCTGTACTCTCGGGGCAAAGCAGCGATAGTATTTAATAGTGATAGCAATTTTTCGTTGCCGCTTAAAGAATTGTTCGTCTGTATGCTGCTAACTTCGTCCATTGTCTGAAAAATAAGAACGAATAGAGGAAGTGGTTAGAGACTCTCAGAAAAATATGCAGGCCCAAGTCTACCAAATTTTTAGACATGACAAGTGTCTGGTAGCTGTTGGTCAAATACGGTTTAAGATGCTCAACAAGACCGGTAAAGAGAGTGGTGCCTGCCTCGATTTACATGACGTACTCATACCTTTCCTAGGTTTGACGGCAAACTCTGTCGCATTATCTCGAGCCTCTTCAATCGTTTGTCTTTCAGGACCTGTTCCAGGCTATGCAGGTCATCCAGCACTCGTGATGGAAAGACGCCTTTTTCAAGTAAAAATAGAGAAATCTCAGTGAGCTTTTGCATCCTCGATTTGTTGCTAAAAAGCGTTTACGTGGAATAACTGTATTTTACATTTTACTGTTTAACTTCAATTCAACGAATACCATGCGGAGAGGATGGCCTCGATTCGATTCATTTTCACTGGATCATCTATCCTTGAACGAATAACTCTAGCCGCTTGCGATGAATACTCAGCGTCGCAGTCCGGAATGATCTTGAAAGTATGGAAAATAAAGGAACAAGAAGAAAAGCGAAAAAAGACTGACTTTCCAAAAAATGCTGCGTTCTCTCCCTTCTACGATCTCTATGTTAACGGATTTTAGAGTTGATTATCATTTAACGCCCACTAGTTTTTTCCTCACTACAGAGAAATGCAGGCGATTTCGAAGAACCGATATTCGACTAAATCCTTATACATGCATTCAAAGTTTCAAGATAACTAATTTCGCAAGAACACTGAAACGTTTCCGGGGAGTAAGGCATTCACGACCACACCACGCGGATCCTGCGTTTCGCTTGTCTCTCAGTTAGTTCTATCGATCAGCGCCATCAACAATCAACCGTCAACGGGGTTGACCTGGGAGCCTGCATCGGCATTGAACCCAGTTAAGCTAAGGCTGTAGTTGAAATCACAATGTTTCACTTTAATTTTCTACCTATTACAATTTTCACGGCAGGGTACTAATCTGCGGTCTAGAGTTTTGTAAATATCTCAGCAACGTTGTGGTTGTATTTCGCTTAGTGCCGTGAAAAATGTAGTAGGCAAAAAATGAAAGGTAAAACATACTGAAGCGTTTCTCCAATTTTTTATTAAGACTTCAGAAAAATTAGACTTTCGCAACTTTTCATTCCTCTGAGCAAAGCAATGAACAGCAGGATGTCGAACGATCAACATTCTCGAATACAGTTTTCTCCAGTTATTTTACGTTCAAAAAGTAAATAACTGACTTGGCCTTTTAAACTGGCAATTCCACAAAGAAACATCAGGGATTTGACTGCCGTAGACGATTTCATCGTTGTGGTATGACTGACATTGGCTGACTATCTAAGAAGTGAAACTAAATGTATTTGTGTTTAAAAGAAGAAAAAATGCACAACGGTGAAATAAATAGTTAGGAAATGTTTGCAAGCAAGAATTGGGCATATGGAAGTGTTTATCCAATATTCTAAGTGAATTGTAAAGATTATCGACGCCTAAGGTTCGTTAACCCTTCAACGCTACACCGCCTCATTGTGGCCGGGAGGTGTTCCTGGGTGCCGCGCTGCTATGCACTGCGGGTGATTCATCTCGCTGACAGCTCCTAAGCTGGGAAGAAGTCCGATGTTTTCATCAGGGAGCCTAGATAAGACTAAACCGATACCAGAATCTACCACCGTACTGGCATCGAACTAGTCGCATGGTGGCAAATCTCGCTGCGACTGACTGCTGTGGTGACGAACTAGGGCAAACTTTGGCGGGGATAACCTCGCGTCTACAGGGAAACACAGTGGCTAAGCCAGCAAAAGTCCGAAAAATGGAGAATATGGTGGAGCCCGCACAACCAGTGAGGACTCTCCATCCAAGTATTCAGGTAAGTATGAGATTCGTTAAGGGCAACGTTAAAGGGTATATAGGGAATATATAAGGGAGATAAAGCATCACTCGTGTTAATAAGGTAGAGTGTTTCAACGCTGCCACTGTGTCTGAATAATCAGAGTACTTATTGGAGTAAATAGTACAAAAGAAAAACAAAAAACGTCCATGACATCTCGTACTAATACCTCTTGGAAAACGAAACTTGTAAAATGTAGGAATTAATGATGGATGTGAAATTTTTGGACAGAGGTCATTTTTATGGACGGATTGAATGCTGTAAGAACCAGATTACGATCACTGGTCAAGTAGGCTCAAGGCGTTTCGTTGTTGGACCGTCGCATAGTAGAAAGCTCTTTTAAAATGTGAAGACGTCCGATTTGAATAGAAGTCAGCTAATTGGCGGTATTAATGCCAACCATAATGTAGCAGTGAATGAGAGTGAAAACCGTTATGCGACGACAATCCTTCAAAAACCGTCTGGTAAAAAATAACTGACAGAAATGTAATTTTTTCGCAATAGTAAGAGAAACGTAAAAAAATGTTGTAAACTTCAACCTTAAGTGACGCAAATATAAGCAAAATGTTAGTAGTTCGCCACATCTGTACGATTCGAAGTCCGAAGCAGGGTAATTGCGGATGAGAGATGGACCAGCCGGCTGACCGGTTCCGATCAGCTCCGCACAACTGATCTGGTCCGGATCGTATTACGATTTTACACTTTTTCGCTCTTCATACGATCATCACTTCGACATTGTACTTGTTATTCGTTCTTTCCATAGAAAGTAGTAAGATTTTTGATTTTTGCTACGTTCTAAGGAAACTGGAGACAATTAGTTGAGAAGTGCAAAGTGCCTGCCCAACGGTTTACCTCCTCATCGTGGCTGGGAGGTGTTTCTGGGTATCGGGCTGCGATGTACAGCGAGGAGTTCATCTTTCTGGCAGGGTCTCCCAAATGAAAAGGAGTCCGGCGTTTCTACCAGGAAGCCTAGCTAAGAATAAACCAATATCAGGATCCACCACCGTCCTGGTATCAAAGTCGCATGGTGGTAAATCTCGCTCTGATCCACAAGGGCTGCGACAGGCTGTGGTGCTGAAGAATTTGGGCAGATTTTGAACAGGCTGACCTCGGGACATCAGGAAACTACAATGGCTTGACCGGCAAACCTCCAAAAAACGGAGATTATGCTGGGGCCCGTACAGTCAGTGAGGACAGGCCATTCAAGCATCGAGTATCAAGTAAGTGCAAAGTGCACCACCAGCGAGACAATCCGTCTTCACTCGCAATTGTTTAGGGTTTTTAAAAAGTTGGTCTGGCGCATTTGGATACAAATGTAAGTGTAAAGTGCTAAATCCGACTATGCAGTAATGGCTTCGGATTTTGTTTATCACTGTTGTGTGCTGCTGCCACGCTTGCGCAAAAAATGATAAAAAATTATATGTCAAACAACTTGAAAAGTAAAAGGATATATGACAATGTCGTAATTTTTATTATTTTTATTTACTGCCTATTATCTATTTATGGCATGGTATGAAATATAAGTATAATAATGCTGAGACATTTGCAAAACTCCGAAACGTTGGTGTCTGCGATGGGGACCGAACACGCTATCACCCTTTCCGGGGGTTAAGGAGAAAGGGCAATAGTGTGTTCGTTCTCTACCTCAGACATCATCGGTCCGGAGTTTTGCAAATATCTCAGCATCGTTATCGATAAAAAGACATATCATAGAAGTTGCAGAAACCCTAAAACCGATAAGGCGAAAATTCTTCTATGTGAGTCTATCAGTTTCTTAAGCTCCACTTCATTTATGGGAAAAATGTGCTCTCTGTGTTAAACCACCACAGCTTTGAAAATGGCCGCTCCCTAAACTTTTAGAAAGCAAAAAAATGAAATACAACGTCATGCCAGATGACCGTTACGAAAATTAGGTCCATTTATTTGAAAAGGAATTGTAAAAACAGCAGTAGGTTTATAAAATAGTTTAGAACCTAAATGAAATCTTATATCTGCGCTTGATATTGTTTGAATGGATACCAGCTTTCGGAAAATATGGCGAAACGAGAAAACTCCACTGCATTTCACATCTAACAATGAAAACACATTTGCTAAGAAATTCCGTGATATGAGAGTTCTCTCAGCAGTTAGGCGCTAGACTACGTGGTGTACACCAAACGAAGAATACGAGCATAAAAGACAATAAAATAACACTCTTTTTAAAATGAAATAACGGCTAAATCCATAGGGTGTGTTCGGGATTATTACTTTCAATAGGTAGGTGAGCCGGGCAGGTATCTGTGCACATGTCCATACTATCGAGGAGGCCATAAGAACTACATGTAACTATATTTTCACCAAAAACTGTATAGTTGCAGAACTTAGACCAAATGTTGGTATTCTTCGTGGCTTGTGGGCGAACGCAGCCAGTTAAAATGGTGGTGTGTAATGAGACCGAATAGAAATTCTACTCGCACCTTCCCGAGCTCAGTTCTTGCGGATTCCATCGAGTTATGCAAAGTGCGTTTTGTGGTTTAATGGATGTAATACTTATATGCAAGCACACCAAAATCTCTCATTTGCAAGGTAGAGGCTGAGCCAGTTTATCTCACCGACGCTTCGACAGTACTAGCTTTGAAGGGAATGAATGAGCTAGCTTAGAATCTGTAATAGTTTAAAGGCTTCACCCGTTTCACAGATCTTTGACAACTCCTACTTTAGCTAGATCATACAAATGCCAGCAACTTTTTCGTTTACTGAAAAAGAAAGATTCGCTTTTTAGGTAAGGCAAGAAACTGAATATTCTAAACATATTCAATGCTCTAGCATTAAACCGAGAAGAAATATGTTTTTCTTTCTTTAGCTATGTAGGCGGGAATGGCGAGCTTTGCAGATCGGGACCCGCGCAAGCCACGACGAGATTTGTTTGGTACGGGCTGTAGTGAAGGGTAGGATCACTGACGAAGGTAAAGAGTCATCTCTTCGCCTTACTGTTTTTGTTTGCATGGGAAAAGATGAAGAAATGTCAGTTTTAATGAACGCTTCGTCCATGATTGGCTCTTCAGTGCCTTAATGAGACTTTCATAAATATGAATATATTCTTCGGTT